AGACCCATTTCTGGCTTAAACACGGGAAGAGTGGTACAGACACGGAACTGGGAATACAAGGAAAAACATTTGATGGCAGAGACATGGCTTCTGATTAGGACTTGTTGCGTTTGGGGTGCTTCTGGGACATTCGAGTGGAAATGTTCACTGGCTGTTAAAGGAGCTGGAGCTCAGGGGAAGTTGAGGACCAGAGCTATGGAACCGGGAGCCATCCCGACTCCAGAGGCAGCGGCAGCCATGGGTAGGGGAGGGATGTAGGCACATCAAGAGCCTGGTAAGGTGGGTCAGGAACTGAGGGGAGGAAGGGGAGGGGGCTACTAGAAGCTGAAGGCTCAGGGGAGATACATAATTTTTTTTTTTAAACTGGAGATACTAGAGGTATTTAAATGCTGATGGACAGGAGACTATAGAGAGCGAAAAGAAGATAAAAAAGAGGAGATAATAAGTAGGAGGGTCTCTGGGAAGCAGGGAGGAGACAGACTCCAAGGCTGGGAAGGGCAGAGCCTGGGGGAGGAGGCTTCTTCCAGCAGTGAATGGGGAGCTATAAATAACCGCAATCAGTGAATGAAAGATGCCGCAGATGGGCGTGTTGGGCTCGTGGCCACAAGCTGAGGGACTTCCCCTGAGGCTTCCAGGAGGCAGGGTCACTGCTGAGAATGAGTGACAGGGTCCAAGGAGTGGGGCTTGGAAAAGGTCCCAGTGTGGCTCCTCCAGAGTTGCCCTCAAGTTGGGTACTCACTACAAAGGCTTTCGTATCACAGTGCAGAAGCTTCACTCCGCCCGCCAGGAAGGGGCTCCATCCCTGACTCACACTGCTCAAACTCAGGAACGCACGTGGAGGCCCAGAGATGTCCGTGCACTCAAGTCAAAGGGGAACCGGTCGGGCTCGCCAGCAGTCGGCCCAGCCAGCAAGTGCACGCCAAGCAGAAGATCAGATCAACCGGCTGTTTGATCACATCAGACTGTCCCCAGGGCCGACTCCCTTTCCCGAGGGCTTACTCCCTTTCCCGAGGGCTTGGTGCCTTAGCCAAGGTCTGCCTCTGAGCTATGCCCCCAGGGCTGATCAATCCTGATTGGGCACATTTCCCCCCTTTAGATATGCTAGTCAATCCAATCAGGTGGAGGGGCAGCTCCTTCAGGTGTGTTTATGTCCATCTCGGGCTCACCTACTGTGGGTGTCACCACAACCCTCAGCAGTGACAAGAAACTCTTTTTCATAGCAAAGAATAGGGAAGGCAGAGTTGTCATAAACACTTAACAGGCACTCATAGGGGTTGACTACAAGCCCCCTGAGGGCGGGGGTGGCGGGGGACCGCATCTACCTCGTTCAAGCTGGAGTACAAAGGTGCGCACATTTTTTCTGTCAAGGGCTGGATAGTTGAATGTTTTGGGCTTTGAGGCCAGAAGGTCTATGTTGCAACGACTCAGTGCTGCTATTGGATCACCAAAGGCTCTATGTAAAAACAAACAGGTGTGGCTGGCCCCAGTGAACTTGATTTACAAAAGCCGGCGGCCAGCCTGCAGGCTGTACTTGCCCGAGCCCCCCGCCCCCCACGGCAGAGCTAGCACTAGCCAAGCACACAGTCGGTGCTCAATGGACACGTCAGTGGAGAAGAAACGACAGGCCTGTCTTCCGAAATCGGCCCTGACATCCTTGCTTCTGCAAACTTTCTTTCCATGCTGGCGGAACCACTGAACTGAGCGGACTCAAGGGACCTGAGGAGGGCGGCGGGTGTGAGCTGGCGTGATTTCCAGAGCTTTCATTTTTTGGTACATGGATCATTCTAGGACTAAAGGCCCTCAGTGAAAGTTGGACTTTTTAAAGAAATATCCTTCTTAGTTGGGCGGGTGCTTAGGAAACTGCCTCGGGCCACACCTGCAGACTTGGATGCTCTAAGCCGGAGGACAGGCAGCACACTCCCTGCTCTCCGCCGCCTGCGGTCCCTCCTCCGAGCAGGGGCTCAGTACCTGCTCGCTCAGTTCCTCTTAGCTCTGCTCTGTGATTGTCCATCAGTTACAGGTCATTCCCCACCTTTTAGACTTTTCTTATTTTTTTCCACAATGATTACGTTCAGAAGCAACAAAATCAGGATCTTTGTTAGAACAACACCAAAAAGTTAAGAAACTACCCAGAGCAACTCATCAGCCTTCGTCCGCGTTGCCTTTCCCTGTTCGAGGTAGAAACCTCTTCTGGTTATACACGGGAAGCTCCTCGTGAGAAAGAGACAACAGCAGTTCCGTTTGCGCTGCACTGAAATGCCGCTGTGTGTCTTTTGACTTCTCAGAAGAGATCATTATCCTATTCGGGGTAGCAAGTAATTAAGACTGTTTACAAATCCTTCACATGGGCCCCTGACTTGCTAAGGACGTTCTCAGCACTGGTCTTCCGTTGAGAGTGTGTTAGGGTTTCTGAGTGTACACCATCCTCTGCCTTCAAAACGTTGATCCAGGACTCTCCATTCCGCTCAGTTAAGAACATACTGGAGACCCTGGCCAATTTGGCTCAGTGGTCGGAGCGTTGGCCTGCAGACCAGAGAGTCCCGGGTTTGGTTCCCACTAGGGGCACGTACCAAAAATAAATAAGTTTGAAATCAGGAAGTGTGAGGCCCACAACTTTGTTCAAAGAAAAAAAGAACATACTGGAGAGAAGAAAATGTCATTGTCCCCTGAAAAGCAATTTTTTAGAAACTGACCTCCAAGAGTCAATCTTACCAAGATCACTTCTTGATTTGGGAAGAAAAAAATGCTATTTCCGTAACTTAAATTGTTTCAAACATTTTCATGTTTATTTGTCAAATAGCTGATGCTATTGATTAGAAATGAGACTGGAGGTTTTCAACCCTGGCTGAGGCAGGAGATGTGGAACCACCATGCAATGCTTTTCAAATCTAGAGATGCCAGGGCCTCTCCCGGACTGGGGTACACAGCTGGCAGGGACCACATGCATGCATTGGCTGCGCTGGAGGCAGGCAGAGCCTCACTCGGATGTGCTCAATAAATATTTGCTGAAAAAAATTGTTATCGCCTGGCTGGTGTGGCTCACTGGTTGAGCGTCACCGGTTCGATTCCTGCTCAGGACACATGCCCAGGTTGTGGGCCAAATCAGTGTTCGCTCTCATCAATGTTTCTATCTCTCTCTCCCTCTCACTTCCTCTCTCTCTAAAATCAATATAGAAAAAAAAATTATTATTTTTTTAAAATTATTATCGTGACTCCTTCTGGGGAAGGTTCAGGGAACCAGAGTCAGGAGTGTTCACAAAACTTACTTTCTACTCTTCTAGTCGTTTGTACTGTTTGAATTGTTGCCATGTTTGTGGTTTTTAAAAAGTTCCTTTTGAAAAGTAAATACTATCGCCCTGGCCGGTGTGGCTCAGCGGTTCGAGCATCCGCCTGCGGACCAGAGAGTCCCAGGTTCGGTTTCCACTAGGGGCACGTACAAAAAAAAAAAAAGAAAAGTAAATACTATCTATAACTAAAATAGCTAATGTAATTGAAATCTTGTTAAGTCAAAATAATTAGAGTTTTATTTAAATACATGTAACTATAAAAAGCTTGCTCTGTGAGGTAAAATAAGTTATATGTCCACTGTCTTAGTAATACTATGGCTTAAGCGATATTGCACAAGTGAAAATAATAATTGCAAACATTTATTTTGTACTGACTAGGTGCTAGCGAATAGTCTGAGTGCTTGATATATATTAACTCCCTTAATCTTCCTTTATCAGCGCTACTGAGGCAGGGACGATCTTCTCTCACTGAAGGTGGGAGAGAATCGGAGACCCAAGGCCTGGCCGTCGGGTAATGGATGGAGCCGTCTGACCCCATGCCAGGTGGCTAGCCACTGCACCAGTCTCAACTAATACGCAGAATCGAAACATGACCAATCTTAATGCCCTCAATTGGTTTAATAAATTGTCTTCTAACGAGATCTCAGTAAAGAAACAGTTGCTGAGTGAATAAGCTGAGAATTATCCCGGGGAAGCTCAGCCCGTCTCTTCCAAAGGGAAATGGGGGGAAGGACTCCCTCAGAACAGGCAGGCAAGCCCTGGATGAAGGGTCTGGGCTGGGGACAGGGCAGGTGTCCCCGGGTTTCGTCCTGCCTGGTTCTCAGTGCTGTCCCGGCGGCATGGCGGCAGCTCATCTCCGTCTCCTGCAGGACGGGGCTTTTTGTCAGTCCTGTCGCCAGCCCCTGAACAGGGCTCGGCAGCTCCCTGGCTGAATGGAGCAGTGAGAGTGGCCGCGGCCCGCTGCAGTGCGAGTCTCCGCGACTGGGTGCCCAGCCATCTCTGACCCAGCCTGTGCGCTGAACTTGATAACAGCCCATCGTCAGGCCCAGCTGAACTAGGGGTCATTTTGCAGAGGGCACCACCAGGGCTCTTGCACGCCTTCACCAGAATGATTTGCTCCAGTCCCCATTGAAAGAGGCAGCCCCCCCCCACCCCAGCCGTGGGGACTGACTCAGCTGATATGCAGATGCATTGAAAAGCCCTAGAAAACAGGCTACACCGGGGTCCCGCCATGGGATTGGTCGGGGGAACGTTCTCTTGCTCAGCCTGAGCCTTTCACAACGGAGAAAAGTCATGTTTCACTTGTGCAATTAAAAAAAAAAGAAAGCGGCGCTTGATATTGCCAGAGGTTTGGAATGGCAGGGCAAATAATGCTATTTCCTGCCCAAATCAGCTTTGGAGGGACACACATTTGACAGTGTTCCCCATCCCAGAGAGAGGAACACTTTTGGTGACGCATTGTGTGGGATTTGGGGGGTTATAGGGCACCCTATGGGGGTGCATGCCATCTTAATAACAGTCCCAGAGTGAGAGTCCTTATCCCGACTCCCAGCATGAGGAAACTTGAGACAGAAAAGGGGGCCCGAGAACCTCTGCTCCCTGCGCCCAGACCTGGCCTGGCAGTTCTCGGGGATCACTGGGTTCCTGTCGGCCGCAGGCCTGGGTGCCCCTCCCGCACCCCGCACCCCCCGCGCCCTGCTCGGCGCCACGCACCTTGGATGGTCCTCTTGAAGAAGGCCTTGCAGGCCTCGCAGGAGGCCACTCCGTAGTGGTAGCCGGAGGCAATGTCCCCGCACACCAGGCACAGGCGCTTGGGGATGGCGTTCAGCATGTACTCGCACTTGATGGCCGAGTCCTCCATGATGCCGCTGGCACAGTCCTCGTAGCTCTTGCGACACGGGGTGCCTCCCAGCCCGGCGCCTGCAAACATGGGAGGCGAGTCCAGACCGTTGGCGTGGGGGCCCAGGGCCAGGCCAAAGCCGCCACTGGCGTCCGACGAGCCACTGGGGCTGTGGTGGCTGAGGGCATCGATGCCCGAGGACGGGCTGGATGGCTCCGTCTTGATGAAGGAGCCACAGCTGGAGCTCAGGTGCCGGTCATCTGCAGACATTCTGTTCAGCAGCCTGTGGACACAGCGGGAAAGTCAGATCTGAGGAGGCCCGGGTGTGACACTGTCCCCAGGAATGAGCTCCGGGCTCCGGGCACAGGTGGGTGGGGCGGCTGGGAGGGGCTCTATGCTAAGGCTTCAGTGAGATAAAATTCAGCGAGGTCAATTGGTCCTGAAACTGCACAGCCTAGAGCAAGTTTCTGGTCTTACACTCCCTTCCCACTCCCATTCCCCCAGCACCTTCTGAGTCCTCAAAGCAAAAAACAATGTTTGATCCATAAGCTTCAGATTAGGCACCCAGCCCTTTGCAAATTGCTGGCTCGAGGGGACAAAAAGTGGTAACAATTTGGCCCAACTATTTGGCAAACCGGCCGCACAAGAATAAAGCACGTTGGCTACACCTGAAAGTCCAGGCATGCCAGGCCCTGGACCAGGCACCCGCAGGACAATGACCTGGTAACCCATTTTGCCTGGTCCCACTGGGACTTCATTCAAGCAGGTCCAAGTTTGGAGCTCCCCCTGCCCACCACCATCACTAGGATCGAAACCAGAGATGCCAAGGCACCCAGCCAGGGCCAGAGGCAGGGCCCGTGGCAAAGGTCCCCAGCTAAACGGGCTGCCCTCTGGACTTTGCAAGTGGCCCAGGGCACATCCGGAGGGCGGCTCCAGGACCCCTCTCCCATTTCTCTCCTGGACTCTGAGCAGACAGTCTTCTGCCCAACCCTTCCCCCTAGAGACTGCTTCCATCCGGCAGCACCAGGGAACCTCCAACCCCAACTCCCTGCATCCTCGGCTGTTTTTCTCAAGTGGAAATTTCCACCTTTAAGTGCCCCTGCCTCACCCACTGGGAGAGTCACCGGGAGCATTATCAACAGGACAGAATGGCTAGGAAGCATCCTGTTCCCGTAAGGAGCCCCTCCTCCTAGAACCCTGCTGGGCAGGTGAGCAGGTCAGCAGGGTGCGACCCTCCCACATCCCAGCTCCCAACGGAGAGGAGAGGCCTCTCTTGAATGGGCTAGAGCAGCTCACAGCAGGGAGATGATGGTGTGCGTTTGGGGAAGCCCAGCGGCAGCCCCTGCTCCAGACCTCTGGGGCCAGGACCAGGAACCAGAGGGCTGGTCAGGGTCCATCTGTCCCTGGCCTGGCCTGGCCATGTGGAGGCAGAGAGGAGGCCAAGGCTTGTGCCTGCAGAGCAGGTGGAAGGAAAGAAGGACAGACCCCGGAGACGGACAAGGGCTGGAGAGGTCAGCATACAGCCCACGAGTGGCAAGATGGCTCCAGGTTGGGAGGGAGGGTCTCAGTGCTGCAGGGTCCACTGGGGGAGCGGCCGCAGCCTACCTCCTGCTGCTCGGAGGAGCCCCTGTGTTCTGAGCAGCCCGCTGGAGAAAGGACTGGCCTCCACCTGGGGAAGAGGCCGCCTCTCACCCTACAACACAACCTTGGTCACACATCCAGAGCACCACCTGCAATCTGATGATGGGGAGGGGACTCCACGGTCCTTGGTCCCACTAGTGAGTTCATAGTTAACACACTTCCCAAGGGGCTGTCCCGTTCATCTGCACTTGAAGATGTCCAGTGACAGGAAGTCTATTGCCCCAGAGACAGTTCTAACCAGAAACTGGGCGCTGCAGATACAAAGGTAGAAGATACACAGAAGGCTCCTACTCTTAAGAAGTTTATTGCCCTAGCAACCCAAGTGCCCATCAATGGACAAGTGGATAAAAAGTTGTGGTATATATATAATGGAATACTACTTGGTTATAAAAAGAATGAAATCTTATTATCTGCCACGACAGGTATGGACCTACAGGGTATTATGCAAATTGCAAAGTGAAATAAATCAGACAAAGAAAGACAAATACCATAGGATTTCACTTATGTAGAATCCAGAATAAAATAAAGAAACAAAACAAAGTAGAAGTTTATTGCCCTGGCTGGTTTGGCTCAGCAGTTAGAGCGTCGGCCTGTGGACCAGAGTCCTGAGTTCGATTCCGGCCAAGGGCACGTACCTCGGTTGCGGTTTGTCCCTGGCTCTGGTTGGGGTCGTGCGGGTGTCAACCAATCCATGTGTCTCTCTCACGTCGATGTCTCTCTCTCTCTCTCTCTCTCTTTCTCTCTCTCTCTCCTTCCCTCCCACTCTGTGTGAAGATAAATGTAAAAATATCCTCGGGTGAGGATTAAAAAGAAAGAAAGAAAGAAATTTATTATTTACTGGAATGTAGTGATTGAAGACAGAGGCTTCCGAGTTTCTTGTATTCTACATCGAATATCTGAGTCCTCAAGTCCATGGAGACACCTCTGCTATCAGCCCCAGGTTTCTGTCCCATTGGCAGAGGGTCCCCCAGTTGAGGGTACCCTCTGGGTCCTTTGACATTACTAGGTGGTGCCCTGGCATCTCCCTGGGCTCCTCACAGCCACCTGCTCCCCCGCCCCCCCCCCATCCAGCAGGGGGTCCTGATTTGTCCTCACCATCAACCTGGCAAACACAAGTGCACCTGTGGGTCCCTCCCCACAACTCTGCATGGGGCAGGCAGAGAGAGCTGACCAGGTGCTCCTTCATTAGTAACTCCCGCCAGCCCGCTGTCGTGCTGCAGGTCCCGGGAACATCCCAGGCCCACGGTGATAAAACAGGCTGGGTGAGACAGCGCCCAGCCCCAGCCCTCCGTCCTCACCCCTCCCCCTTATCTCCAGAGATCCAGGAGATACACTTGACATAAACAGTAATTACAGCAACTACTATTTAGCGAGCGTGAGTTACGTGCCACCCGCTTCAGACCTGCCCCTGGATGTACAAGAAGCACGTGCCAGAGGAAAGGAGATGGAGCCCTGCAGCTGCCCCGTGGACAGCAGGCCGTAACCGTCCCCACTCCCTTCCCCCGCCTCATGGCTCCGACAACCCTGACGGACACCCAGGGCGGACAGTCCCCTGAGCCTTGGTTTCCCTTCCTGCCCCTCTCTTTCTTGGTTCAGAAGGGCCCAAAGCTTCCTGCAGTGGGCGGTGCAGCCACGACATGCCCAGTCCAGACCTTACCCCCAGGCCCAGGTCAGAGACAGTCCAGATCCTGCCCCCAGGCCCAGAGTCCCTGGGCTGAGATGGAAGCAAACCCGACCAGCTAGAGTTGGCACCAAAAGCCGTGCCAATTTGATGCTCGAATCCCAGCTGGGGGGGAGGGGGGTTCTAACGATTTTATTTTTGCAACTTGCTCATATCTGTGGTCATTATTTTGGCCCCACTCCAGTGTCTTTTTCAGGGACAGTCCCTCTGCATTTCAGGCTCCTGCTCTGCGCTCAGTGCTTGCCAGACAATGGGAACCGGACAGGCGCAGCCAGGATCCCAGGAGCTCTTGGAGGGACACACACTCAACAGACACAAGTGTGCAGCACTCCAGGACGGGCCCAGTGGATACGACACGGATGGGGCTCCCTCCCACGCCCCAGTCTCGCTTCATTCATTCAGAGACAACCACCAAAACCTTCTCCAGACATTGCCAAATGTTCAAGGTGGGGGTGTGTGTGCAAAATCGCTCCCAGCTGAGAACCCCTGACTTCGATGTACGAGGGAAGAGGGTGGACAAGGGCACAGTAACTGAGGCTGGGCTAATGAACGGTGCGGGTTCAGGGCAGAGGGGAGTGATGTCAGAAAGGGTGGAACTGGAGAAACAGAGCCCAGAGCACGGCGGTGTCCAGAGGGTGGAGGCTGAGGTCCAGCAGGAAGAAAGAGGGGGTACACGGAAAGGAAGGGGACTGGGTCAGGGGAGATTTCAGAGGCGAAGCAATAGCAGGTCCAGGAGGGTGTGGCTGGGGGTGGGGTGGGTGGCCAAGGGGGCGTGTGGGAAGAGCCCCTCAGGATGCGGGGAGGAGAGTCATGTTGAGTCCGTTGTCTGTGGCTGGCTGAGACCCAGTTCCCAACGGGGTCGATGACTATTGACTCCACGAGGGACAGATGCCACATTAAGCAGCCTTTGAAAGAGCAGCAGTCAGCGGGCAAAGCCCCCGAGGGCACCCTTTTCCCGTGATCCGTCTCGGGACAGGGCACGGCCCGCGCTGCCCTGGCCTCGATTTCACCCCCTGATGAGGCCGGGCCTCCCTCCCGCCCACGCGGCCTGCCCCAGCCCTCCGAGTGTCCAGTGCGGCGCCCTGGGCCCCAGGGCCGCCGAGCTGGCTGGGGGTTCTGCCTCTGCTGGACACCGTGGGCTGAAGATGTCCTAACACAGAGGCCAACAGAATCCAGGAGTTTGAGTGAAACCCAAACTACTCAGATACTCTCCCATGGTCCTCCAGAGGAAGAGAATTCCAGGCTATCTCCACAAAACAACTGTACATTGTTTTAAATCCTCACCTGAGGACATTTTTCCATTTATCTTCAAATAGAGTGGGAAAGGGGGGTGGGGGAGATCGAGGTGATAGAGACACATCGACTGGTTGCCTCCCAAATGACCCTGACCAGGGCCAGGGATTGAACCAAAACAGAGATAAGTGCCCTTGACTGGAATCGAACCCACGACTCTGGTCCTCGGACCAACACTCTAACCACTGAGCCAACCCAGCCAGGGCCAATTATACATATAAAAGCCTTCATCCCAGGGATCCATGTGCCTTGAGGTGGCCTACTGGTGGGCAGGCAGCAGAAGAGAAGCTTCTGGAGGCACAGAAACCCCTGGAGAAGAGGGATGGACTGACCTGATCAGCCAGGGACTGGCTTGCTCTCCTCTACAGGGTAGTGTCCACCCACCACATGCAGAAATCTGGGTCACATGCAGGGCCCTCTTTCGCTGGGGCTACCCCTTTAAGAGCAGAGACAAGCAGCTGAGTACTGACTGGTTACAAGCCTGCACTCTGGCATCGGACCAGCCAGTTCTATCACATAGTAGCTGTTCACTTTGAGGAAACAGGCCACCCTCTCTGGGCCTCAGGGTCCCCATCTGTAAAATGGGCTCAATCACAACACCTCATTCATTGGGTGGTTCTGGGTGAGCATGAGCTAATTCACGCAAAACAGACTGAGCGTCCTGGTGC